ATCATCATGCATCATCATCAATCATCATGCATCATCATCATCATGCATCATTATTATCCTCATCATTATCATTATCATGAAAGCTCACCAGCAAACAATCCCTGTGTCCCTTATTTCATGAAAAAACTGGAATTTAGAAACATGTCTGACTTACCTCAACATCTCCCCATGTGTGAAGTGGAAGTTATTAAGTTCTCTTTGTAAAGGAGCTGAAAAAGGACCAAAGAGGTAGTCATTCATCTATTAATCTTATCTCACTACATCCAATCTCATCCATCCAATGGTCCAACTGTSTCGTCCTATTCCATCCATCCATCCATTCAACCATCACATTCATACATAAACCCATCTTGTTTTATATTATACCTCAATTGGATTTATTCAATCCATTTATGCAATAAAACTCTGCCATACTTTTAATTACTACAAATTCCCATTCAATTCCATTCCATCATATTCATTCATTCACTTACCTTCGCATTCAGTATCATTGAAAGCAATTCCTGGTGACCACCAGATATTGACCGCAAGATTCCTTGACAGTGAGTTCACTTGATGAGCCCACCTAAGTAAAGGTTATACATCAATGCTACAGATTTTCTAAAGGTTACAATGTTGGGATGGGATAAAATGGATGGATGGAAAACAGGAAAAACTGGAGAAAAGAATACCAAAAAATAAAATAAAATCTAGTTGTTCTAGCGCTTTCGCACTAATAGACCTATCCCAAATTCACTTGACTGGTCACAAAAAAATGGTTTAAAGTCGAGATTGAACTTGATAAATGAAAGGATCAAGTTCAGTCTCTACTTCAAACCATTGTTTCATGGTCAGTCAAGTGAATTCGGGAAAGGTCTGTTGGGGACACTTTTTGCTCACACGCACTACCACTACATTTAATATTCTATGCACACAACGCTCAACGCACATACCCATAAGGTACATAGATGCAATCTCCAGCTTTTATCTCTGCCGACCACCATGGAATAACTTGTAGGCTGGGATACTTGTACATATCAACACTGTCGACATTTACGCTGCAGTATTCTCCTTCTTTATGGTCCATTTCTATTCTCTTGGAATTCTCCTGAAAATTATTCAGTACATTACAGACAAACATTTTGAGAGATTCACACAAAAAAATCTTAAACAAAAATTAGTTAAAGTGTTATTATTTTAATAATAATGATAATAATAATAATAATAATAATGTTTTATATAGCACCAATTCCAAGAGTTTAACAATGCCTCACAATTTTAATACCTTATATTCACATAGTAATTAAATAAGATATACTTCATTCAATGAATACAAACAATTTACTAAATATATGTTACTTACCGGCCAGAAGGTCGGCCAGAGAGGGAAAAATTATGCCCGATGTCTTGAATATATGGACTGAGGCCGTTAGGCTGAGGTCCATTTTCAAGACCGAGGGCACAGTTTTTCCCTACCCGGAACAGACTATAGGACGGTAAATAACTTWTTWTTTTTTTTCCTAGATTTTTTTTACTTGTTTTTGTAATCATTTTGTTTTGTAGTTTAGCGGCAAAGAATACTGGACCATGAGCGTGGGCAGATACTGACAAAATACCACCTGCTCAAACAGCCAATCAGAAGGCACGATTTATTAGGATACCGGATCGGGAAAAAAAAAAGTATTTTAAGATTAGTTTAAAAAAAAATTTAACAATAGACCTTTATATCTAGTTTACAATGTTTTCCCATTTCAGACCATGTGCCATTCACTTGCTGAGAGTATGAGTTCTTCGTTTGATGGTTGAGCATGAGAAGACACATGAATA